GGCAATGTGGCTGTGGGGAAGTACTGCAGAAGTGGCACCATCAGCAGTGCTCAGGTTTTGAAAAGCGGCAGCTTTTCTGTGGACGTCCCAGCAGAGCAGAAGCTGCAAAATGACAAGTTTGATGTGACTGTGCGGGAAAAAATCAAGTGTGAGTTTAGTTACAGTCACTTTTTTTGTGTTTCATCCAAAATGACAGTGTCATTTAACAATTTTTGTGTTAATTTGAATTTATTTGGTGTGTGTGTGTGTGTGTGTGTGTGTTGTAGCTCTTGCCCGAATTTCTCTGACTTTACCAAAAGGGACCTCTTCCTCAGAGCTGCTCTCGCCAAACTACCCAGAGAGTTTTCCTGATGACGACATCATGGAGTGGTACTTTCAGGTCCCAGACAAACACGGGGTTGATGTTCAGTTTCTAAAGCTCACACAGCCAGATTGTGTGAAGAAGGAAGTGGCAGTGGAGTACCACCAGAAAGGCAGGGTGACATCGGTTCTGGGGCTAAATGAGACACAGCCGCTCCAGAACCAGGGAGACTTTTTGCTCACGCTGAGGAACTGCGAGATGGAGAGAGCACCTGCTGATTCTCCTGGACTCACCTTCACCCTCAAGGTGTCTGCTTCCAGCCCAGCTTCAACAGGTCTGTATCATATAAGCACTTGGTGGAGCATTTAGTAACAAAAGTGTGAGTTGGTAGAGACCAAAAATGGAGCTGAAAGAAGTTTGCGTATTGGACTTGTAATTAATCAAAAGGCCATAACAAGACTACAAGTGAATACTGAGGATGTCTTCATGTCTTGAAGGTGTGTTATTACGTGCAGTGACATGTCTATATGTCACACTTTTTCTATGTTAGAGCAGCACAACTGTGTAAATACATACCAGACTATACAGGTGTGTAGCTGATGAGTGCAGTCTGACCCATAAGTAAGCAACAAGCACAAGAAGCATGTTAGTCACAGGGCTTAAAAGCTCCATCACATTATGTCTTTAGCTATTATTAGCTAAAGACATAATTAGTATTATTAAAGAGGGTGAGCTCAGATAGTCTGCTCTGTGGTTTCTCTCACTGTAAGGTGTTGGGGGATGTTGATGCTTCGTCTGACTCCAAGTGTTACAAGCACGTAGTTACTAAGTGTAGCATGGGTCCCACATGGCTAAATTTAGTACTGCAGTTTCTTTTGTACAGTGGTTTTGCTGTTGGGGAGATGTGTGCTGCCTGCTCTGCATGTGGCAGCATGTACTTGTATAAATAGTCTCTTTCTTTTTTCTTTTTCTATCGTCTTTCTTAAAGGTTACAACAAAAGTGCAGTTTGATTAGTCAGTGGTATGACAATGTTCATTTTCTTGTAATATTTGTGAATAGGAGGGACTTGGAAAGTGTGTCTCATGGCCTGTTTCTGAACCCAGGAAAACTCTTAAATTGCCTAATCTCTTAGTCATGTATGAC